TTTTCTTCATACGAAGGGAGAGGAGCTCAGATGAGGCAGACCTCGAAAAAGCATGCTCCCTGCCCTGAAGTCTTCCAGTACCGGCAAAATAGGTTTCGCCTACCCAACATTTCAGCAACCAAATCTCAAACTAAAAATCCACTAAAGGCCTTACGTGATAGGCCTCAAGTAGATATTCAATTGACTCTGTGGTCACAAATCTTTCTCACTTTCAGCTCTCCTGAAGAAATAATTTCCACGTTTTGAGCAGCCGGCCTATCAACCGCCTGCACGCTTCCAGTAGTATTCAGAATCTAATCAAACACAATTTACTCCCCGCAAATCTTTCTCCTCCTTTAACTTCACCTCCTGGTACGATATTAAGCCTCTTGCAACCTCAACGTCTCACTGTGCAACCATTGCCAAATATGCAAGCCTTCGAAACCTCATTTCTGGTCTCCTGAAACCGCACTGCCTGTTTCATAATAGAGCTCTCAATGTTCGAACCTTATTCCAAATCGGACAACAGACATCGCTCGCCAAAGCTCTGGAATCTCCAACCATGGATGTGCAGTTTTTAAGACACGTATACAAGACCCAAGTGTGGTTCTTCACCTGGCCATTCCGGTGAATCTTCAAAATCCACCTCACAAGTGTCCGGAAGCTCAGTGCCTAGCTTCCATAGTTTCGCTGGCGTAGGCATAACATTGAGTTGTAGAGTAAAAAGTGCACTAATCAACTGGATACCAGTCAACAACCATCTATTTACTGTTCGATTGAATGGATCCGTAAGAACTAGGAAGGATAGGGAGACTAACCGATACCTATTCGTTATCTTGCCTATGCAGTGTGTGTGATGCAGAGGATGACTTCTATCAGGAGCTGTCAATTTTCCTACAGAAAGCCACATGTTCAGACGTTGTCATAATGGCAAGCGAATCCAGCGCTCAAGTAGGAAAGCAGAAACGATTAGAAAGGCATTATGAAGGTATCTACGGCATCCCATTGCCAGCAAACCGACAGCGGTGAGTCTGTTGCAATTTTGTCCTGACAATCATTTATTTCCCGCCAGCACTAACTTCAACCATAAGGAGAGATGCTGTCTCATATAGCGTCCAACGATATCAATCTTACTATGGATGCAGGTCAGAATGTTACTAGCTATCGTTGGAGAGGATGGATGGAGGATTGTCATTAATCCTGGAGTACCTGTTTGAACTCAGATGACGTGTTATTACGGGAACCCATGTATGGACCTTACTGGTTGCACGAAACGGGCGACAGTGAAGGATACTGGCAAGAGGATAGTGGTTAGTGAGTGAAACTATCACCGAAAAGCACGAAATCTTGACAATCTCTTCGGACAGATGACTAGAACGTTGGACAACATTTTGAGGTATAGTTCAACTGGTCTACAGCAACGTTTCAGTTGACCAGCATTCATCCCAAACTGGAGTGGGAGGTTGATGTTGATCGTGCAACTCTCCTCGAAGTTAAGGAGTCTGTTTCTAATCTGAAACAGTGCACAGCGGCAGAATCTGAGTGGCACCGGACGTCTTTCAGTGGGGAAATAGTAAATTAGTGTCTCCTATAACGACGGTGTTAGGTAGTGTACGGGAATCAAAGATAGTCCCATCAGACTGATCTACTTCAATGATCCTTCCAGTGTTTAATAAGAGAGAGGAGGGAATCAGTTTAAGTAATATGTGCAAGATCGTGGGTTCATGGCTATCCGACGTCAAATTGGAGCTCGAGAGCACCAAACTCAGGAGAAAGAGGCAGGTTTCCGACCTGGACGAAGGTGCATCGACCAGATTTTCACTCTTCGACAGGTTCTGAAACGCAGACATAGATACCTCCCAGTAGCCGACACACCATATTTCTTGGTCTGAATGCAGCATTTGACTCAGTTAGTCGTGAGGTGATGTAGCAGTCTGACTGTTAAACGAGGCTTGAGCAGGTATATAACCTTAATCAAATCTTTCTACTGGAACACATCCTTGTAAGGGGTTCTTGGACCGGTGTCATAAGAATTAACCGCTCCTGTTAAACTTCGTTATAGACGTACTAATAGACATGACCTTAGGTACGTGTGACTTCACAGGGATTGATCTACTCTCTGGAGAGCAGGCATCTGATTGACTTGGAGTATGCAGACGATATTGCTTGATAGGAGAAGACACTGACAAAATTGCAAGGTCTTGTGAACGCGTTGAGGAGAAATCTGAGTATGTTCGGCATGCGTTTCTCTGGTACCTGTCAAATGTTGGATGACACTTCAGGACTGATCTGCTTCAAATACTCTCGGTATGATGATAAGAAGTGAAGTGAAGTGTTAAAATGTGTCGACCACTTCCCTTACTTGGAAAGTTTCATCAGCATCACTGTGTAAGCAATGCCGAGGTCTTGCAAAGGGTACTAGGCAAGACAGGCAAGTCCATTGATGAGGTTGTAAACCTTCATCGACTGCAATGATTTGGACGTGTACTGCACATCTCGATTCGCCACCTACCTTGACGTGCAATGCTAAGGGAAGTTGGATTGTTTTGGAAAAAGGTTGACGGTGGGCAGACCATACCTGATATCGGTCGGTGAAGTTGATGACTATTAGTCTCACTCATATGGGGAGATGTAGACTGCTTGGTTGGGGTCTCGGAGACGAAGAGAATGTGATTGATGACTGTTAGTGACATGGTTGAAAACTAGTCACATTGGCACAGATTTTACCACTCTTTGGCACATAAAGTTTGAATACTTTCATTAATCCTTATCTTCGGATTGTTTATCATCTCACACAACTTTGTCTATCAGTCTTCTGTTAACCATTTTGTTGTGTACTACTGTAAAGTATGGCAACTTAAACCGATGCACCTGTATGGGAGGTTTCACATTGATTTTATCAGTCAGTCAATAGTTAGAGACGTGGTGATGCGACCCAAAAAGGTTCACTATATCGTCAAAATTTTTGTCGGTTTTACTAACTTTCATTTCTTTTAAGTTCTTCATGAACTTCCGTCTTTGATATTTGTTTTCCTTCCACTACCTGTTTGTGGATTGTTGTGAAGTGTCTCAACCTGAAGTGATACACCAAAGTGTTAAGTTCTATGCTGATGTCTTTTAAAATGTCAGTAGAAGGAAGAAAGTTTGGTCTTCAAAAATTACATACTCTAGATCTGAATGGTAAATACCCGCCCATAATTTTTCTGAATTGTTCAAAACTTCCAAATTTCGTGCTATCTTGCACTCAAAAAGTTAAGAGGGACCAGTGGTGTTATGAGGATAGAAAGGTGATTTCGTTAAGTTGAAACGCCAGTTGATGAGTACAAATTGTTGTGCTCGGTATCATAAGCCTCAACTCAGTCCAGTGCGCAAATCCCATCTTACTAATTATTGCAACCTCATTTATATTTCTTGATCGCCACATACTGTTTCAGACAAATTTTCTAGTTAACTAGTAATATTTCCATGTTAAACATGAAAGTTTTTAGCTTTAAGAATGAATCACGGGCAGTTTTGCTGATTCATATTACTGGACTTCGTATTATTGACTTCATATCCAATAACGGTACATATTCATATAAGCATTTGTTTCTTATGAAATACGCGGCCGAAACTGCTAATTTAGCCAAAGGAAATGGTTTACTGAAGGTAATCTTGTAAAACTTCAGTGGAGTATCTGATTCAGTGTAGTTGTCTTTTCAGTGCTTCAGCACTCATAGATCAAAACTAAAGAATGCAAAAATGTCTATCTAACTACGCAACAAACTAACCTCAATCCACTGTAAACTGTTCCCTATAATGCAGTTTGTCGTTATCATATTAGCACACTATTGTTGTCACATTCGCTTTTATAATACTCAACCACTCACCGCTATTCGAAATTCTGGCTGTTTCTTCACCATTTTGAGTCAATTAATATCTTCCAAACGGCTAACCCCTTCGATAAGAGAAACCATGCATCTTTTTTAGACTTGCCACCAGCGTTCACGTGTTGATATCAACCGAAAAACAAGTGGCCTCAGGTAAAACTCCAGAAAACCGCTGTTGGCGTGTGCTTTACTTCAGATACCAACATAGAAGCTCTGAATAATGTATTTCATGTAGACTTATCTGAAGATCGTGTGACATTGACATCTCATCTTGCTAGTCTCTTCTATCTATTTTGATATGGGTCTTTTTCTATCCACTGCATGCTGCTATGAAGTATGGCAAGTTAAACCTGTGTGGGAGGTTCGACGTTGATTTAGTCTGTCTCCTATTGATGGGAGAACTTAGTTCTCAAGCTTTAGGTTCTAGCTTCAAATCCCACTCCACTTCAGCCTAGCCAGCTGAATAGTACCTTAAGCCTTCACAAGATAAGTGTGACTCATGGAATTGTACCAGGTTGAGTTGCATTGATTGATTCAGCATTCTACAATCCAATGAAGCGACGTTTAGAGCTGCAAATTCATAGTTGCTGGTGACCAAACTACTGCAATCGATTTGATAATATCATGAAGCCTATTCTCATCATTTGTTGAAGATCACAATTTTTCGATTCCGCTAGGTTGATCCATCGTATTCACCAATCTGATGATATGCACTGGGCACTCGCTTTCATCTCACTTTTGTTATAATATTGTCTGGTTAGAGCAATACTTAAGATTTTGTCTGAGACTATGGCCATGAAAGAGCATTTCCAGGGGACAAGCGAACTTTTATTCACCATCGAGGGTCTTTGAAACTATCTTAAGGAACAGTTGTTATTTACAATGATCTGTTATGAATAGTCTTTTGATGCACCATAAAGATTTGTTGCATAACCGTGCTAATAATCCCGTCTTTTTTAACCAACAAATACCTTATTATCAAGGTCAAAAGCGCGAAGGTCCCTGAGTTCCTCAACACCCATCAGAAATTCCAAGCCTACGGGTGATCATCAGTCTTTTAACAAGCCAAATACACTTGGTAACCTATCATTTGTTGAGGAAACCGTCTTAAACCATTCAAGTAACCGTAACTATTGTGTTAACTGTTTTCAGTTTGTAGTGAAGTTGAACAGTCTGTATCCGAGGGCTTTTTCGGTCTGCCTTTGCGTGTAAAAGACTTATTCCATGAACTTCGAGGTGTAACGAAATTATATGGTAAGTGTTACCTAATATTTAAACAAGAAGTGTCTCTCTCTTCATTATGAAATGATGTTTTGATAGTGTAGTAGATTTAGTTGTCTTACCGGACTATTTTGTTCTAATTTAGCACTGGATACTTGTCCTTATATATATATATATATATATATATATATATATATATATATATATATATATATATATATATATATCTGCCAAAACGCCCTTGAGACAGGTATAGAAATTGAGTTCTGTGTAGGACTTAAAGCCGATTACAAAAGTCTTGTTTTTGCACTTAATTCAATCTTTAGTTTACTACCAAACCCCAGCGCAAACTAGGTATCTCAAATTCTAGTGGTGGGTTTATCTAAATACTGCCAATAAGATATTTTATACACAAATCAATTTAGCTCGCTTTCACTTGATGTCAGGCACTTTCTGGCTGACATAATAACTGTCTAGGTTATAGTTGACAGACTTCTTCCTTTGTTTCAAAAGGTTTTGTTATTCATGAGTGATCAGAAGGGTTAGTTTGGTAGAATTTGAGTGTGTAATTCTACTGTTGGGAGTCAGATGCGTAGTATATGCAAGGTCACCAAAAATTTTGATTTAGAAATCGGACGTACTTCCTGGCGATTCACTAGTATTGTGAGCCTTCATAAAACGAGTGCTAACAAATAAACCCGTTCTAGGTTGGATTAAATACATAAAATTTATTAGTTGACTTTACTATATTCTAACTACAAAACACATTTCTTTACCATGTTGTCTATCAGAATGAAAATGTATGAAAGAATCCCAGTTCTTAGGAGCATACATGGCGTGCTAACAGCCAGAATATTAAATCTCTTGGGAAAAAAAGTGTTGATTATTTTTTGGTTCTTTAGTGTTTTCTACAGGTACAAAAGCAATCTGGTAAGAAGTATTGACAGCTATCTATTTTTATAAGTGAAAAACGCTGAGGGGGAATGCAAGCTATTGCATTTTAACGTGCTAGGACTTGATTACGTATATTCTTGGTTTTATGTTAGTGGTTTATTCAAGAAGTCTTCAGCTCCTTTTCGGTAGTTAAGGCTGTGAATGGCAAGTCAAACTGAAATATTCGTAGGCTCAATGTTTCACTGCGGGGTGTGGGCTGATTTAGACAAAGACTGTCTTCTTATATGATGTCTCGAGAGTATGGGGTTTGCCTCCTGTCACTAAATCTTTATCAAAATATTTACAGTCTCTCTTAAAGTAAGTTTCCGAGACTTCTAATAAGCTGTATCGGAACTCAATCACTAACCTCACTGAATTGTGGTCTAAGAAACTATTGATCTTTTTAAACTCGCTTGTTTGGTAGACCCATAATATATGTGATGACTAACAAGCTTCATCACCGCCAACTTTCCGGTTTTGATGGGAGTCAACGTGTATTTATTTGCAAAGTCTTTAGAAGATTTTCTGTAGCAGTTTATGATAACCATTATGTTAGTTCATGAAAGTGTCCATTGGTAATGTCCAAAAGTCTAAAGTCTGGCACCCATCTTAGGAACAAGTTACTAATCATTTGTTTCTCTTAGTTGTTAGTGCATGCAAACTCCACACAGAAGACAAACGTAGTCTAATTGTTGAGTTTTCTATTACAAGTAGCAGCCTTCAAATAATATCCTCAAATGATGGTCAATGGTAAATTTGTATTATTATTATTATGACGCTACCTGGTTAACCATGCCGAAGTGGCTAGAGCGGGACTTGAACCTAGAACCCATTGCTTTTACTTGACTCGTCCGGTTTAATTTTTTTTTCACTGAAAGTTGTATGTCGAACAATGGTTACAGGGTGTGTCCTAAACTATTCCTCTAGTTTTGAGTAGGTATAATTCATCTTTACTGCTACTAAATGATACGTTTTAAATATGTAGAACTTGTTGCGGATTCTTGTTCAGTTAGTAAGTAACTATTTCCATCTCTGAATTCTCCTCTTTTGAACAGACTGGCAGAAAGAGTGTTTGACTTTGACAACTGTGGCGAATGGGGCTAATCTCATATACAGTCTGCCTACAAGTGGAGGGAAAACGTTAGTTGCGGAGATTCTTATGCTCAAGGAGCTTCTGCTTCACAATAAAAGTGTGCTTTTTATTTTACCCTTCGTCTCGATAGTTCAAGAGAAAGTATGTTCACCAATAAAATTAAATTTATATTCGTTATGACATCGAATTGTTATTTTCGTCACCTTGAAATCTAAAATATCCCTTGGAACCGGGATACATAGACTTTAGCGCCTAAAGCTTTGTGTTATTGATATTGGTAGCTACCACCTAAACATGGAGGCATATATCACGCAAAGTAATTTTTTTCGTAATTCAAAGACAAGCAAATTCATTCATTTCTCTTCCTCGCTGCCTTTTTTGTACTTGCTGCTGATTCATGTTAATAGACTAGATTGTAAATGCATGATTTCCAGTGTCCTCAAAGCATTGTTCGTGAACGTTCCACCCACAGTAAAATAACCCAAATAACATAAAGAATTCTAGACAGGTGCCGCGTATCAATCAATGATTCGTTGTGCGCAACCACCCATCAGGTACCTGAATGCGTATAAATCTCGTGAGAGAGGAAGTATATTGAGGAAGCCTCATGTCAAATTAAACAAAGGAAGTCAGTAACCGAAAGACAATGTAGACATATGATCCAACATTACATCATAGTGGTCCAAGTAGCCACAGGTCATAGCAGCACATCAAGCGGGAAAGCACTGAGATGAAAGATGAAGAAATAAAGAAGTCGAAAGGGGTGAAAATTCACCAAAACAAAGCCAAAAATATTGAAGCAACCATGAAATTCAGAACTATGATCAAGGTACAAGTGTGTGTGTGTGTGTGTGGATACATTTGTGCCACTGAGAACGATTCTGAGCTGTCACCTAGAGTTTCCAACCACTGGTTTCTGTTGTCACGCGGACCGTAACCGGGACGTCTAAATTTCCCTCCCTACACAACTGAGACCAACAGTCAAAAACTTCATGTGATGATGCTGTTTTGCTTAGTATGGCAACCTCTAACCCCTTTTCAGCTTGAACCTACTTCAGCTAACATTGCGCTATGACGCAGACGGTGAGTAGTTATGCATGATGCGTGTCCCAGCCACCTGACTCGATGAAGTTTCACAACACTATCGACTGACTTTTTTCTCCTCCCTAAAACTCTACACTTAACTGCGTTACTGACCGGGTGACACCACGACATATGGCCTATGCTACTAAGGCAGCGGTGGTCAGACGTCTAAAGCTTTCTCATATCCTCTACCTCTAATGACCGTGTTTCACAGCCACACAGTAGGACGGAGCGTATGCAGTGCAGTACACTCGACACTTAACAGTCATGCAAGCCTTTTGTATTCGTGCTGAGATTTCATTCGTCACTGACTCACTAGGGCTGATCCAACTTCCCAGGTAAGTGTAGTGATCAGCCCACTCAACATCTTCACTTCCTATTGTTAAACGCGATACAAGCGGAGCAACAGTTTACATTTGGGTGCTGTGAAACGCGTTTCAAACATTCAAATTGCCGCTTGCGGTGCCCAGAAGACTCTTCATAGTGTCGGCGTCTTCATTTAGCAGAACTATGCCATCTGCGTCTTGTATATGAACTTAAGAGTCTCCCTAGAGAAGCCCAACCCATGTAAAGTCAGACAAAGAAAAGGAAACCTCCAAAAGTACATGTGTGATAAGTTTGAATGAGAATAGATAGAGTTGATACCCATAACGAACATAACTTGCCAACATACCAATGCATGTTCGTATACAGAGCCTTTAGCAGTGATGTACTTACCTGCCACCGCTTCCGGTGGTAGATGTTGCCGTAAGACCTTTCAGTTGACAGAATGGAGAGCCGCTTACATGTCAAAGAATACATCTAGTTTCGGGCGTCGGCAAGTGTGCCTATGTTACAGAGCCTGTTAGAAATAGAATATTTGGTCGATACACCCAAAACCAAGTTTGAACCCTCCTAGTTTCCTCGGGTTTTATATTCTTAAGCCCTAACAATCTAGAATATGGAACATTGTGTTCATCTCACTGATTCCCTATGGTTATCACCGAAGAAGTCCTTGGCTTTAGTAAACACTGGGGCAATCAGTGATTGATAACAGTCATAACGGATCGTATCTGGTTCCCATGTACTAGCAAACACTTCAGTTATTCCAAACAATGATTCACGACTACCGTGCTTAAATACCTCCAGCACTACCTCCATCTATCTCCTGCTCTTCCTCGTTTTAGTTTACTTTCAAAACTTCAAGACTTGGTGGGCCTATCCTGCTGTTCCATTATAGATCTGACTAGGTAACGGGGAACGGGATAGTAGCTGGAGTCCACTTGAAGTGTTCTGTCGTTTCAATCTTCTCTTCGTGTGTGAATCGCAGATGCACCCTTCGCTATAGTTTCAGTAACCGTTGACCTTTATACACCACTTTCCTTGATCAGTCTAAATAGTTATCTACTGTTGCCTTTCACCTCTGCCTTTTCTATCTACTTAACCTTTGCTGCACACCACTGCTGGCTTTCATTGCGTAGTCGATTTGTTATCTGCTTCCGTTGACCACTGTGCTCGGGTTGGCATCGATGTGTGTTCATTTGCATTCATTAATTCAGAAGAAGTTGCTGGGATTCATTAACTTTTTAAACTACTTTTTGAAAGTTAGCTACGGTCTGTTTTAACAGCAGACTGGAGATGATGCCAGGCTTTCTCTGGATGAATAGCGTTGTCACCTGTCGATAATTGTCCAGCCAGTTACTTGCTGGAAGCGACCTCAGTATTTTTACCATCATAAAGTGTTTGCAACGGATTCGTAGTTCTCTTGCATCCATCCAGGCGCAGGTATACACGTGGTCGGACCAACGTTTGATCACTATCCAAGTATATGCTTCAGAAAATGTTAATTTTCCATCGACCCTTCCCAGCAATAACTGATGACAGCACGGTCTATCCGTGTTCACCGTTGAGTTGAGATTAGTGGACTCCATGTCAGACAATGCTCCTCTTTATATTTGAAGTCCATGGTTATCAGAAACAGGTAGTTATCTCAGCAGTTGTAACAGGCGATCGCCGTTGTGCGTTCTACTAGTCGGGATTCCAAAAATGATACCTAAGTACCTTACTTGGTGACGTAGTCTACTCACTTTGGCATTGAAATCACCTGCTACGACAGCCACATCTGAACGTCTTCCTTTCAGTACATTGCTAAACAGTTTTCAGTCGAACTCACCTCCCACTCTATCCAAACTCCAGTCAGTGGGCGAGTGTTTCACTGTCTTGGTCCTCACTACACCATTCAGTTGAATAGCGCATAGGCAACTGTTAAAATGTGACCCAGTCGAGCAGTACACCTTCTGCCGTAAGATCTAGTACTACACATATACCTACAGAATCATGAGAATTAGCTGAGGAGTCTTCGGGAACTTGAGGAGTGAATTTAAAAGATTCACCGTATCGGATGGGTGTGGGCTAACTAAGTAACTGCGCTTGGGTTCTGTATGTATGTCTCACAAACATAACACATCTATGGCATGCGATGGCAGAGTTTTTGGTGAACGAGGCTTAGTGTATGATTTGGCGCAGGGTATAGACATAAGGAGCTGCGATATGTAGTTTGGAGTGCGGTTTCAGGAGATTAGGAATGGTTTTCTTATGAACTGGAATCGTTATGGTGAGTTGCAGAGCCGGGACGAATTAAAGATGAATTAGGAAAATTAGTCGAGAGATGTGGGGAATGGTTAGAAGTTCTAGATATGAAAGACTGATCATGATCTGTAGGAACTTGTGAAAGTGAATGACACCTCAGTCTCCCACACCATGCAACGCTATTTCTTCTTGAGGTACCTGGAACCGAAGAGTTAGTTCGTAACTCTAGAGTTCAAGGGGAATCTACTGAAGGCTGGATAATTAAGTTTAAAGTTTTATTTTTTTTAAGATGAAGGGTTCTTTTCTTGAGGTCCTACCATGCAAAAAACGTCTGTTGCGATAGCGGTAAGGCGAAGAGCAGTTACCGTCGTAGTGTAAACTGCTACACTAATATGGAGGTCTGAGGGCGGAGTCGTACTGCTAGCTGGATGAGGTGTAACAGCAGTAAGGTGTTTGTCTCGGATGATTGGCAATGTCACGCTACGGGAAAAGAGGGCTTTGGAAGATGCTGACCCCAAGAATAGCACACTCCTTCCTATCCCACGATCTCTCAGTGCCGGTACCAAAGCTTCTTTCTGTCCGGCGTTAGAACAACCAAATCTCATTCCATCAATTCTCAAGAGTCTGTGTGTGACAATTCCTAATATGATGTCCCATTGGCCTTGTGGTCACACAAATCTTCTCCTTTTGCTTTTTCAGTCTGGAAGTGTCAAGCGCCCTCATGCTTCCAGTAGTATCCTTTCAAACATTACCTATCCTACTTGACTATCTCCTCCTTTGCGTTCACCTCTTAGCACTAACACTAAGCCTCATTCTGTGGCCATTACCAACTACCCAGGCCAGCAAAACATCGTTCCTAGTATTCTAAGACCCTACTGCTGGTTTCATATTGGAGCTTTCAACACCTGAACTCCATGCCAAATCAGACAGCAGCCACCCCTTGCCATAACTCTGGAATCTCCATGTGGGGATATATACTATGTCTCTGAGACACGCATACAATATCCGAGTTTGGTTATTATATTGACCTCACCTGGCCATTGCAGTAAATCTTCAAAATTCACCTCACGAGTATCCGGAAACCCATTGACTAGCTCTCATGGACTCGCTGGTCTGGGCATAGGACTGAGATGTGGGGCAGAAAGTGCACTTGTCGACTGGATGCCAGTCGACAGCTGTGGTGTTTAACTGAGTGGATCTGTAAGAAGTAGTAAGAATCGTGAGAACAACCAATGCCTCTTCGTAATCCCTGCTCATACACCCCCCGACTGCAGTTAGGATGATGCAGAGAATGAAATCTATCAGAAGCTGTCAGCTTTTTGCTACAGAAAGCGAAACGTTCAGATGTACTCACAATGGCAGGTGACTTTTACGTCCAAGTAGAGAAGGTCAGCCAATCGGAAAGGCATCTTGGTAACATTTATGGAATCTTATGTCAACAAGCCGACAACGATGATCGTTTGCTGCAATTTTCTTCCGCCAACCGCTTT